GAAAAGAAACCCTTCGAGCCTTGTCATTAAAATCTCAAAATAAAATTTACACTAATGGTTTGCTATCTGAATCAAACACCTTCCAAACTCTTTTCCCCTTAAATTTTACATATTTTTTAATCTTTACAGTCAATGAAACATAATCAACAGGATCAACTTTCGGGCCGAACAAAATGGCGGCTGATGGTCTTTTTGTTGATCTCTACCCTCTTTTTGAAATTTTCCAGCTGACTCATCCACGACCAATCAGATTTGTCGGGTTTCTTCCTAATTTGAAAATTTGACAATTTTAATTTGTATGGGCCACCATCACATGTTTAATCATAAATTTTTATAATGAAAATAAATCCCGAATTCAGCTATTTTTTTCTAGGCTGCGAAGAATAATCCATTGGCCTAACTTAAGATTATATCGATTTAAATTGATCAAAATCGATCTGGTCGCACGTTGAATTTATTTCACTTCATATTATTTTTTTAAATGTGAAAAACACATAAACACCAACTCTTAATGATTCTAAATTAATTCATTTTGTCCACATGATTACAATGCACAATGACAAATAAAAACATTCACACAAATTAGGTAGTCATCGGGGTTTTTGATATTACGCCAGTGATTACCTCCCCATCATATGGTAAATATATATATATATATAACTAAATAACCTAAACTACTTGGTGTGTTGGTGGATAGTCGATATTCCATCACACACATCAAAGTATAACGTTCACGCTGATAAATGCATTCAGTCAGATAAAGGATATTTAAGGGTTCCCTAATTCAGGCATCTAATCAATTTTATTATAACCATTACTGTGCATTAGAAATTGTTTAAAATCTGCAGTCAGGACACTGTTCTTCGCGTTGCTAATCCCCTGCAATCAGTTAATATGTGCTTTACAGATACTTGTGGACTCATAAAAGGCACCTCCGTTATGTTTCATTGGTGAATGCTCATGTGTCAGCTTGGTGTAGCCTATCCGCAGGCGAGTCAGTGGTTCTTTCTTTTTTTCCTATTTCCTCCACGGTCCCCGATGTGACCAACGGTTTTATTTCATTTAATTTGTCTGTCATGATGGTCATGCCTTTCAGCAATTGATTTATAAGATAATTCGTCTCCGTTAAATACACTGTGCTTGATGATGATGCTTGTCCTTGCTGCTCGTTTGGTCGGCTTTTTCAGTTCCGTCTGTGCCAACATATGTCGGGATCTAAGATTTTTCTCCCGGAATTTCTTGGATTAGTGGATCCATGGAGAACATATCACGGATGGATTGATGGCACTGAGCGAGTCAGTAGAGACTGCGAATTGATTGGTTCCGAGAATTGGCATGAAGACTAGCCAAAGAAGTGTAAATTTTTGTCCTTTTCTGTCATAGATATATAAACTACTTTATTTATATACAAGACGTCCCATCCACGGGAAGTATAGCGGATTTGATGAAATTACCCGCTTTTTGAACTGACGTAAATGTGGAGATTGTTGGAAAGATACCCGGTTGTACACGCAGTTTCCGTTTACCCCTGGAAATGAGCCGCACTTCGTTTAATTAAACACTGTTTAATTAATTTTCCGCCTAAGGGAGTCGCCCAGAAATCTGTCTGGGAGGCAAGACATCCAGTTTTAACAGTTAGTCGAGAGGTCTCGTTCGACCTCTCGTCCTTTCTCAATTTTAATAATCTGATCTCGCCACCCCGGCCGCCTCCGGTGTGGCTCTGAAATCATCCAATTTCAATTTTTTCCCGGCTTTGATTCTTCCGCACTTTCAGCCAGGCGATGTGAAAATTAATTTAATTACTGCCGGCGTCAAGGGCTCGCAGGGGAATTTCAATAAAAAGTTTTTTTCCCCACCTTCCGTTGTTAATATAACGCCTGGAAATTTGTTCTAGACAAATATAAAGTGCCAACAAATTTTATGGCCGCAACACTTTCATGACACCCTTGCCATAGTAGACTCTGCAGCATACAATGACAACATACTGACTGGCCTTAGCATAAAAACATTGCATAAACTAAAGAAACTGGACATTAGAAACAGCAGCATATATTATTTTGACCATAACAAAAACCAAGAACAAACTACTACTATTAATAAGTCTTACTCCTACCTACTACAGTTACATTTGACATCAGCAACATGGCCAACATACAAACATAATATTAAACCTGAACTCAATGCAAAATAATTGATCAAAATAGTATAAAGTATTCTGGCGTAACCACTACAACAATTTCCATTCGTGATATACAGATGACCAGCAGCAATAGACATCATACGCGCTAACTCATACCACACAGATATGGTAGTGCTCCAGTACATGTCGATTAACATTAGTACCACTAGCTTATGAAAATACAAAAATAAAAATCAATAAAAAAATAGAACTGGAAAAACAACCACCACATAGACACAATTGTCAAACTAATGAAGAAAATATACCGATGTCTAGCGGCATAAATCAAACTCGTCAACGAGTGTAGCAAGCAGCCAGAAGCTACAAGCAACAGGGTTATCTCAAAAGCTCATCCATTGTGCTCAATATCTCCAACATAACACACTCCCTGGTATCTAAACCATATATAAAAACAAAACTGCTTTGATAAATAATAATTCCATTTCAATTCATACCGCCACATATTTGACCAATATCGTTCACGCATTTCGGCTCTCAACTCGAGGAACCCTGTTCCCCACTGAAGATGGTATGAAGTTCCAGCGAGAACGGACAGACCAAAGAAACTGACCAAAGTGTCGATTAGTTCAGCTGTGTTCACTGACTCGCAGACACATGGTGAACTTAATTGTAGTTTTTCCGTAAATTAACTTTTTTAAATTTCAAATTAACTCCATCAGATTTCGTGGTCCGATTGATCAAATAACTTCTTTCAATTAATTAATCTTTTTATATAAAGTATTGGTTGAAATGAAAAAGGTAGTGTCACGAGCGGGATTCGAACCCACGACCTTTGGCTCAATACGCCGCTGCTCTAACCACTTGAGCGATCATGACTTCTTTGAAAAATGGCAAAAAGGAGAGAAAATATGAAAAGTTATAGGTTGAGATGGGGAGTTGGTGTCCGAGTTGATCGAAGTCACGATAGCTCAAATGGTTCTTCAAGAGCCGAAGGTCGTGGGTTCGAATCCCGCTCGTGACACTAGCTTTTTCATTACAACCAACACCGTAAATAAATAGATTAATTAATTGAATAAATAATAATAACGGTTTTTTTACACAATTTACTTGGACAGTATTCAATGCTCATGGTAACCTGGACCGTGCAAGAGATTGAATCATAGCAAACACTCCAAAAATAGATATTCAAAAAACCATATCCACATACGTAATAAATTAGGCAAAAACCTCACTGAAGACGTCGGAAAACTTATGAGACAAAACTTCAATAAGACTAATACGGTATGTATTCAGTGATCAACAAATTAAGAAAAAAAGGCATTTTAATTCTGGCTGAAATAAAAGGAAGATCCAAAGATTAGACCATTTAGTAATACTGAATAAAAACTGAAACTCACCTTACAAAAAAGCATGACAGACCCTCGACAATAAAGATAAATGTAAAATAGTTCAATTACGTACTAAACGAATATACGAACACGACATGTTCAATGGGAGAAAACTTATAGAAACAAAAATGATCTGCTCAAATACATAATTAATTACACACTCCTTTCAAAACACTTCGCAATATAAAAAGAAAACGAACAAATAATTCAAACCTAGAAGTCATAAATCCGTAAAGATGGTGAGGTAACTGAACAAGCTATTTACCCTGCATCAAAAGAAATCTAACAAAAATAGAAATCGTCATATAAATGAATTACAATATCAAATAAAGTAGATATTAAGTCCAATTTGTAATAAGTTATACAAATTGTTAACGGCTGTATCTAGACACAAATTTAAAAGTCATGACTTCAGTTTAGAATACTGCCTCGTGAATATGAGGGATGGAAAGAAAAGGAGGGCGGTAAAAGGGTGAGGATGAATAAAAGGGGTGTGGATAAGACTGGGGTTGAAATATAAGAGGGATCCTGAATAAATCTTGTAACACCTTACATTATAGATTCATCTTGTTTAATCGGAGTTGCTTTCACGAATACGATCATCTGGTTTTATAAACTTCTTAAAATGGCCATAACGTTTAAAAAATAGTAGAAATACATACAGGGTGACTGGCTGACTGGACTGAATTTTCAGGTGTTTTTTCACCATATTCAACAAAAAAAATTCTTGTAAACCCCTGTCCAAATCTCAATTGTAAAGAAGTAATTTCAATTTTTTTTCTTTACTTAGGTTCACTAAATTGCTTATAAACTTAAGAATTGCTGGCTGTAGAAAAATCTGATTCGTGCCACCTGAAAGAACGTTAAATTTGTTGTAAGGAAACCTATTTACATTGCAGAATTGTTGAAAAAATTCTGCAGGAAAAATTCAGAAAAAACTAAAATGTCGAAATGGAATGTTTTAAAATGTTGCATTGGTAACGGTTAATAACTACAAGCTCCTGGAGCTTTGCAGATTCCCTCAAAAGTTTTCCATTCAATTAGCTTCCAGCGGTATACCCACCTTTTTGAATTGCGCTTCTGGAAGGCCCAAAGATTTTGCAATTTGTTGAAAACAACTGGTGTCGAAGAAGGGGACACGTTCAATTTTTCCATGAAATCCGTCTGGGTCTTGAATTTTATGTCAGTTCTTTATAGTTCGATTCAATCAATTATGTTATCATGTTTCCTAATGAACATTTTTCTGATATGCATTTCATTTCCGGTACGTTACTACCAGCTAGGAAGAGGAAAAAAATCAAATCGCCGCTGGTGGTCATTTCGTTCCAAACTTTGCATGTTTTTGCGGCAGCACAGTATGATATTTTTTTTTTCATTTTAGACGTACTTCATATTTTCCTAACCAACCAGGCTATAGAAAAGGCTGGTAATTCAAGCAAACTACTTTTTCCTTTGTCTAATTGGCCTTTTTTTCGGCTGTTGCAGATTGCTTGCACCTCCAGCTTTATCGTGACAGCAAGGACAGATATAAACAAGGCCAAACCAAGGCGTCGCTCTCCCTTCAGCATTTTCTCGGGGTTGAAACAGGTGAGTATCCCTAATTATTGGATTAAATCCAATTGATTTATGTTTTATAATCTGTCTGTATTACGTAGAAACTAAATAAATTTCCTATATGTTTACTTAGTTTTAAGTTATCTCGAATTGACATCAACCTTTAATATTATAAGTTTGTATTGAAAAATCAGGAAGAAAACAGTAAATTTCTGTACTGTAAGTAGTACATATTTTTCAACCTTGTGATTTACTAAAAATAGTTTCAAAGTCCTGATGAAGGGAATATTTTTTCCGAATGGTGACGAAGTAACTTAATGTTTTTATTTTCTTACAAATTGTCCTTGTCCATAGTCTTAAGCATACACGTAATTTTTGATATTTGTTGATTTAATTTGATTTTTTAAGGAAATTTAATCAAAGTACAGTACAATCTACAATTTTAATATAATAATATTCGCTATGTTCTATGTGTTAACCTTTACAATTTTCGTTATTTTGCTCGAAAGTAAATGTTTATAATTACAATTAAGATTACGATTTATGTTGGATCTGTTCACTTAAAGCGCCCAAGAGAAATTATTGCTTCTGTACATTCATGATTGTCATTAATGAGTATCAAGGAGAGAAACTAGAGGTAAAATTGCCTCATTTTATTGAAAATTACCTCGTTTTTCTACGTGCCGAGCTAAACAGAAGTCATTTATTTTGTCTAGCCAGTGGACACATGTTTTATTGTGCAAGAGAGAGGCAGTGAGAGAGAGAGAGAATTGAATTGAAACGTATTATTTTAATACTCGCAGATTTAGATCATATTGACCTTTCTTACATTCGAGTTCGGTTTTACAAAAATAAAGAGAGAGAAGGAGGGAGCAAGAACGAGAGAAGGGAGAGGGTGAGGAGAGGGTGAGGGTTGAGGAGAGGGAGAGGGAGAGGGAAAGAAAGAATTTTGTTGTGCTAAGCAGATGCCTTTTATTGTTCTAGTATGTATATACATATTTTATTGTACAAAAGAAAAAGGTCTCTCTTTCTGTCACTCCCTCTCTCTCTCTTTCTCTTTCTTGCTTTCTCTCTCTCTCCCTCTCCCTCTCCCTCTCACTCCCTCTTTCTCTCTTTTTCTTTCTCACCCACTCTCTCTCTTTCTTTCTCACTCTCTTTCTCCCTCTCTCTCTCCCCCTTTCTCTCTCCCTCCCACTCTCTCTCTTTCTTTCTCACTCTCCCTCTTCCTCCTTCTCTTTCTCTCTCTCTTTCCCTTTCTTTCTCTCTCACTCTCTCCCTCACTCTCTTTCTCCCTCTCTCTGTTTCTCTCTCTCTCTCCCTCCCTCTCTCTCTCCCTCCCCTCCCCCCTCTCTCACTCTCCCTCTCCCTCTCTCTTTTTCTTTCTCTCTCTCGCTCTCTTTCTCTCTCTCTCCCTCCCCCTCTCTCTCTTTCTTTCTCACTCACTCTCTCCCTCCCACTCTCTCTTTCTCTTTCTTTCATTCTCACTCTCTCTCTTTCTTTCTCACTCACTCTCTCTAACCCTCTCTCTCTTTCTCACTCTCCCTCTCCCTCTCTCTTTTTCTTTCTCTCTCTCGCTCTCTTTCTCTCTCTCTCCTTCCCCCTCTCTCTCTTTCTTTCTCACTCACTCTCTCTCCCTCTCTCTTTTTCTCTTTCTTTCTCTCTCTTTCTCTCTCTTTATCACTCTATCTCTTTCTCCCTCTCTTTCTCACTCTCTCTCTTTCTCTTTCTTTCTCTCTCGCTCTCGCTCTGTTTCTCTCTCTCTCCCTCCCTTTCTATCTCTCTCTCCCTCCCTCCCTCCCTCTCTCCCTCCCCCTCTCTCTCACTCTCTTTCTCCCTCTCTCTCTCTCCCCCTTCCCCTCTCTATCTTTCTTTCTCACTCACTCTCTCCCCTTTCCTTCTCTCTCCCTCTTTCTCTCTCTCCCTCTCTCTCTTTCTCCCTCTTTCTCTCTCTCCCTCCTTCTCTCTCTCCCTCCCCCCTTTCACCCTCTTTTTCTCTCTCTCTCTTTCTCTCTCTCTCTCTCTTTCTATATCACTCTCTCTCTTTCTCTCTCTCTCTCTCTCTCTCTCTCTCTCTCTCTCTCTCTCTCTCTCTCTCTCTCTCTCTCTCTCTCTCTCTCTCTCTGTATCTTTCTCTGGTAGGTTGATAATAACTATATTTAAACTTTATTATGATTAATTAAAAATGTTATTTTTCTGTAAATATTCGTTTAGATAGATTGAAGGGATTTTCCCTCATATTCAGTGAATATTGTGAGATAAAATTTTATTTCAATTAAACTGAAATTCATTTTCTCTTTCATTAAGCAAGGGGACATAATGTTTATAGCCAGATTAAAACACGATTTGGTTCGCTCTCATTAATAGAGTATTATAAACTTCTCTTCAAGTATTTTTTTTTTTTTTTTTTTTTTAATCATAAACCTATGGATTTTGTTTTCATTGTGTCAGGTTTCACACTGGACAAAGAGTCCAACACAATCGCCATCTTGTGCCAAGACGTCACTGTAGTTCTTGCTTTCGATACGAGGGAAAGGCTCATTCAATGGCAGGTCAAAATCGCCAACAACCTCGGAGAAGGTAGCAGATAAAGTTTAGATTATAATTTATGATGTATTGTGACCTTTGTAACGATTTCAGATCAACAATATCTCATACAAATCGGATCAGCACCCCCGAAGGCGAAGATCCCTCCGGGCCCGGCGAGACTCCACATTCAAGAATACAGGTTCTCCCTCACCATGGGCGTCCCGCCGAGACTCATCGGAGTTTGGAACATCTCACAACTGAGGTAAAAAAATCTTCCTACTATTTGAATTTAGCATGGGAAAACTTGAGGTGTGTGAAATTTTACTACGTCGAGGCGAAATCTTGTTTTATTTACTTTTTTTACTCCTTTTTTTACGTTTTTATTTCTCATGTAAAGAAAGTGTAGTATAAAAGGGTATTGTCGTGCCCTGGGATTCTAGCGAGAAGCCACTTTGGCTTGGTAGTTAGGTACAAGTGCTGTTGGCTCGCTCTCAACTCTCCGCAAGTCCTTTCCTTTTCTTTTCTGCATTCCATAAAAATTCTGAATTGAGAGGGAAAGAGTGAGAGAGGAAACGAGTGAAATAAACTCCCAACACTTCCCTACATCCTACACAAAAAAAAGAAAATTATGTTTAGAAAAACAGGCCAATAATTTTGTAAACGAAACACTAAGAATTTATATGATATTGCATCCGATCGATCTTAAAATAACATAAGATTTTTCCTGACCCAACGCAAAACCACCCAGTTTATTTATATCTACTGTTTATTATTGACTTCAATGTTTTTAGCTAACATATAAATTTTTAACTAGTGCCATTTTGAGACTAAACAAAGATTTATTTTAACTTAAACTTTAGCCAAAGAAGGAAAAAATTCAGAAGTGGTTTGCCAAGTTTGGAGAAGTAGATTTTTCTTCGGCCGACAAAGAAACGAAAGAAATCCTTGAGAACTACACACACGTAGCTTTAATTAAAAACAATCTTGAAGCTGTGGCGTTCACAATTTTTTTCGGTAAACCCTACAAATCTTGAATTTGGCGGAAATTTAGTGAAAGTTTGCTTTCCTTAGAGTTTCCAGAAAAAAAAGACCTAATTATTTCTAAGCTGTATTAGTTCAAATCCATTACAGTTCGTGGTCCGATTGACCAAATAACCGCTTTCAATTAATTAATCTTTATGTAAAGTATTGGTCGAGATAAAAAAGTCAGTGTCACGAGCGGGATTCGAACCCGCTACCTTCGGCTGAATACGCCGCTGCTCTACCACTTGAGCTTTTGATTTTGAATTTGCACTCCTTTTTGCCATTTTTCAAAAATTTCACTAACGCTCTCCGTGGTCATATCATTTGTCGCCGAGAATCAAATAGATTACACGACATTTGAAAAATGTCAAAAAAGAAGGGAAAATTCAAAAGGTGGGGGTTGAGATGGGAAGTTAGTGGATCGAAGTCACGATAGCTCAATTGGTAGAGCAGCGGCGTATTTAGCCGAAGGTCGTGGGTTCGAATCCCGCTCGTTACGCTGACTTTTTTATCTCAACCAAGACCTTAGAAAGAATAATTATACATTATATTTAGTTAATGTATGAGAGCATAATTAAGCAAATATTATTAGCAAAAATTACCCCAGTATATTAAAAGTCATTACGTTTTTTTAAATTGCACTGTTTTCACATACTTTGCAAGCAACTATTTCTTAGAAGTTATGTTTTGAAGAATATCTTTCTTTTCTAAATATTTTGATTTTTATCTTTCTTATTTTGATGTTATTTTTATCTCAGCCAATACCTTACATGAGGATTAATTAACTGAAAGAAGTTATTTGGTCAATCGAGTCAGTGAACACAGCTGAACTGAACGACACTTCGGTCAGTTTCTTTGGTCTGTCCGAATCGCTGGTTTCCGCTTCACGCCATCTTCAATGAGGTACAGGATTCCTCGAGTTGAGAGCCGAAATACGTGAAAGATATTTGTTAAATATGTCTAATGAAATATACTTTCACCCTTATATTTCTTTAAATATCTCCTGGGCTTGGTTAAATAATGGATGTTTAAATGTCCAGTTTTTGAATTATTATGTCAAGACATACTATTTTGTCAAAAAGCGTGGGCTTTGGTTATAAATGGTCTTCCAAACAGCATGGTACACATTCAGTCACGAACGTAATACACATCGGATCTTAATGACGGTAAATAATGTTCCTAAATTCAAAATTATATGTGAAAATTAAGTAGTACACAATTTTAGTATTGTTTGATTCATAATTTGAAAAACTGTTAAACAAATCAGGTTGGAATTTTATTTTATTTATTTACAGGAGATATGGCGTGGTTGATAATAGATTCTGTTTTGAGTGCGGGTCTGGATGTGGTCGCCTTGAAGGCGTCTATGTTCTTGTCACAGATCAGGGCGAAGAGATCACTAAAGCTTTCAAAGTCGCCTCAGAAGGAAAACTCATCCCAAGGCGAAAACAAGTCACTAGAAATGCTAGTTGTAAATATCAAAATGAATTAAGAAATGTCAACACGTTTTATACAATAATTTTAGTGTCCACAGTGATGGAGAGCCCGAGAAGGCGTCCAAGCACTAGATCGAAAGTGGACGGGACAGAAAACAGATTTTCCGACGTTCTCTGGGAATCCGCTGAAGTCAACAACAGCTCCGAGTACGGGGATACAGTTTCAGTATCTGATCTTGCTATAGACGGACAGGTACTTCATTCACTGGCCAGTGCCCAAATAAATCGGCTAATTCATTTTTCGTCAATGTTACAGCCAAATGAAAATTGGAATACAGATTCAAATCGATGCCAGAATTGTAAACATAATACAATGCCAAGATCTTTAACCGTCTCCAATACGCCTGGAACTGGTTTTAATCCAGCTTGGATAATGGAAACTACCAGTTGTGAGCATGAAATGAGGAGCGCATCTTGCTGTAACTCTTCTGTGATAAGTAGTGACTCCGGCTGCAGGTAAATTTCTATCTTTTAAAGTGTTTGGCTCAGTACTGAACCATTTTCTGTGCAGATCGAGGGCGATTTCTCCGTATACAATGCAATCTTTGACGTGTATGGTGCACGACAAGCCTGCGAAACAACTACCACACCCTCCAATGGCGGAATCGGCCCAATACGAGAATTACGACACTCCGAGGTCAATTTACTTAAACCTCAAAGAAGAGATGAACCAGCCTAACAGCAGGATGTCAATAGCTTCATCGTCTGATGAATATTACGACACACCGAAGAAGATCAAGGATAATTTGGTAATGCACCATGTTCATTGCCAAAACCATCCCCTACCGGACTGCCAGCAAAGTATCATCTCAGCACACTGCCATCCCCCTCCAAGGTGACTTAACTATTCAACAATTACTTAATTTTATTATAACCAAATTGCAGAGAAACTTGAGCTAGGTTAGCTAGGAAAAATGGCAAAAAGGAGGGAAAATTCGAGAGGTGAGGTTGGGATGGAAGTTAGTTTCCGAGCGGATCGAAGTCACGATAGCTCAACTGGTAGAGCAACGGCGTATTTAGCCAAAGATCGTGGGTTCGAATCCGGCTCGTGACACTGACTTTTTATCCCGACCGATACCTTTCATAAATATTAATTAATTGAAAAATGTTAATTGGTCAATCGGACCACAAACTGCAATGGATTTAATAATTAAACTGAAGTATATCTTCACGAAAGCTCTCCGTGGCCATGTCATTTGTCCCCGAGAATCAAATAGATTACACGGTATTAGAAAAATGGCAAAAATGAGGGAAATTCGAGAGGTGAGGTTGAGATAGGAAGTTAGTGTCCGAGTGCATCGAAGTCACGATAGCTCAAGTGGTAGAGCAGCGGCGTATTTAGCCGAAGGTCGTGGGTTCGAATCCCGCTCGTGACACTAACTTTTTTATCTCGACCAATACCTTTCAAAAATATTAATTAATCAATATTGAAGTTTGAATTTTTTCCCAAAATCAAAAGACGGATGAAATGTCTTATGAATAGTAATTCAGATATCGTGAGATGCGGTCGGGTGTGATGTAGGTTTCAGAAAAACATTTTCTTTATCGTGCCAACGTTTCGATCTTTATTGAGATCATCTTCAGGGCTCGAAGTGTTTGTCTTCTGTGTAATTGTGTCATTCTTGCGTGTCGTGTCGAGAGTGCCAAGATGATCTCAATAAAGATCGAAACGTTGGCACGATAAAGAAAATGTTTTTCTGAAACCTACATCACACCCGACCGCATCTCACGATATCTGAATTACTATCGATTAACGGTCACTAATCTCTACACATGTATTATGAATATACTTTCCTAATTTCGCCATTATTAGCATAACTTCCTGCAGTGATTCTGATATTTTAATTTTCCACTTAGCCCATTTTTCAATGCAAACGCAGATATAAAATAATTTATAAATTACATAAACAACACTTGTTTTCAGATGCTCCTGCCATGTTGTGCAGATATGTCCTTGCCAGAGGGTCCCATGTGTCCCAAAACCTGTTTTAGTGTGTACTTGTGTCCGTGACACACAGTCGACTAGTGTACAGGTAATAACTCGCATACCATTCCATTCGTAAAATGTACTGACATTTATTTTACATTTTAGACTGGAAATTCGTTTTCAAATGGTGCAATTTATGCAAAGGTTGACATGTTGAAAAAGAGTAAAAGAAAAATTTTAAACGAAATCCCTGACTGTTCTCCAAAATCGACTGCTGAAATGCCCAAGGAAGTTCCAAACTATGCCAACATGGGTTTCGCACAATCTTTGGAGCACTATGAGAACGTAAAAGATTTGAGGATTATTTTAGACAAAGCGTGTACAAAATGCCAATGCAATAATAAGAAGAAGGAGAACGTTAATGAGACCGATGACAATTATTTAGTCATGAATCCTGTCGGAGACCCGGAAAAAGATACAAACACGCCACCATACTTACCGATGAAACCGATCACATCCAGTACAAAATGCAACTGTTCATCTGAGCCTTACAATGAACCTGTTTCCACTCAACCAAGGTCAGAGACAGCAAGTCCTTTCCTAAGACGGCACGACCCCAGCAGCTGTTATGCTACAAATGAAAGACGAAGGATAGCACAAATAAGAAGAAGGTCAAACTCCATGGATTCAGGGAGATACCTAGACGGTTTGGAGTGTATAACAGAAAGGACAGCTTCATCTTCAACGCACAATACGCTGACGCCGAATTCCCAGTCGAACTCCGTCGACTCTTTGCCAAGCGAAAAACAAGAAACGCCGAAAAAGCCTCTGCCACATTTAAAAGGTGTTTTCGACCTAGAGGTCTCTAGGAGACCGTCCAGCGTTCCATGCAAATCGAATAGGGACTCGTCTTCGTCAAACGATTCGGGAGTTTCGACGGGATCTTTGAAAAATTTTGGAACTGGATTTCTTGAATTTGAAACCATCATCACACCGTTGTCTAAAGTGAGACAGAGATCACTCGACGCCATGCCCTTGTCGATGCCAAGAAGATCTAAATCCTCGGATCCTCTCGAAGACCTCAGCTTCAGATTCAGCAAAGCGGAAGTAAAGTCATCATCAGCAGAAGCAGAAGTACCGATTTGTCCACCGAAAAAAGAAAGCACCAAAGGTATCACGTGAAAAAATTATGCAACCTAAGACAAAAAAAACCAATACGTTTAATTTCAGATTTATCAGTTTCGAGCAGTTCCGGTGCATTAACAATTCCATACATAGATTCCATTAGTAGTAGCAGTGGGGCATCTGATATGTCAGATTATATTGAAACTCTTTCTTTATCTTCATACAGTTCTTCTGAACATGATAATTTAAGGTAAAATATATTTTTAAGTTAAATAAAGGCATATTTAAATCATGTTGGAAATTTCAGGCAATGCCATTCTGCAGTTACAATACTAAGGCCTCGATCTGGAAAGGAATATCAGAAAATTGATAGAAGCAATTTGGAATATGTAAGTGTTTTTGATTATTTGAATATAATAATTGGTGCGGTCAGGAATAAAGTATTTGAAAAAACACCATCATTTTTTGCCGACATTTCGACCTTTATTCCGATCATCTTCAGGGTCTGGGTAAATTACAAAACATATGTTGATTGGAAAAAATACAATTTAAGATGTGAATATAAATTTTGAATCAAATATTTCATTCTCATATAAAGTATAATGCTATTCCTGTGGTGTCATATTGGTGTTGTGTGAAATAGTTGTGAAACGTGAATTTGTATTCTGATGTTTTTATATGATTGTAACAGGATGTGGGACGCGATAAATCTGGGAAATTTCGTTTGATAATACTTTTTTTTCTCAAAAGAATCCAAGATTGCGGATTTTCTGGATTGGATTTGTGAATCAGGGTTTATTCAATACTGGAAATGAAATTAATTATTATTTTACAATTAATTAAGGTTTTCAGTTGAGATAAAAAGTCAATGGCACGAGCGGGATTCGAACCCGCGATCTTCGGCTAAATACGCCGCTGCTCTACCACTTGAGCTATTGTGACCTCGATCCACTCGGACACCAACCTCCCATCTCAACCACACCTTTGTCGCCGAGAATCAAATTGATTACACGACATTTGAAAAATGGCAAAAAGGACAGAAAATTCAAACGGTGTGGTTGAGATGGGAGATTGGTGTCCGAGTGGATCGAGGTCACAATAGCTCAAGTGGTAGAGCAGCGGCGTATCAAGCCGAAGATCGTGGGTTCGAATCCCGCTCCTTCCATTGACTTTTTTATTTCAACTGAAAACCTTAATTAATTGTAACTATTAATTGGTCAAGCGGACCACGAAACTAGTGAATTTAATAAATTTAAAATGAAGTATACTTCACTAAAGCTCTCCGTGGCCATTTCATTTGTCGCCGAGAAAAATTTGATTACACATTTGAAAAATGGCGGAAAGGAGGGAAAATTCAAAAGGTGTGGTTGAGATGGGAGGTTGGTGTCCGAGTGGATCGAGGTCATATCAAGCCGAAGATCGTGGGTTCGAATCCCGCTTGTGCCATTGACTTTTTATCTCAACTGAAAACCTTAATTATTTGTAAGATATTAATTGGTCAAGCGGACCACGAAACTAGTGAAGTTAATTATTATGGACGATAACGAAGGAATTTATTTTTATATTTCCTTTTCCTTCGCTTTCGTCCATAATAATTAACTTCCTTTCCAATATTGAATCATAAATCCAATCCAGAAAATCGGCAATCTCGAATTCTTTTGAGTAAAAAAACCGCCTAGCATCAAAGAAAATTTCCCAGATTTACCGGGTCCCCCATCCTGTCACAATCACATAAAACCAGCAGAATACAAATTCACGTTTAACAACAATTTTACACAAAACCATTATGAACCACGAGAACAGCACCACACTTTATGTGAGTATGAAATACTTGGTTAAAAATTTATTTTTACATCTGTGTTATATTTTTTTCCAATCAACAAGTGTTTTGTAATTCACCCTGAAGAAGAACCGAATACAGGTCGAAACACCGCAAAAAAATGAAAAAGATGTTTTTCTAAAATACTTTACATCTGACGCTCCTCACGACTTAAAAAAAATTGGTTTTATTAATATTTTTCTTTTGTTCAAGGGAAAAAATAAACTGACAGGGGCACAGCACGCAGATTCCCCTTCACCAGGGTACATTAGTTCTACTTCAAGCAACTAAGTCATAGATTTATTTATAAATATATACATAAAATGTTTTTATTGTTTATCTAACTATAAGGGCTTAATACTTTTAATTTGTAAAAGCAATAAAATTCACTATTGATTAATATATTTAAAATACAAAATAACAAATGAATCTTGTATATTGTTGTACTGTAAGTATCCCTTATTGTAACATGTTTATATGTTGTATAAATAAAATCTATTTAATCGCTATGTCACCCTACCTTACTCAAAAGAAAAATGTCAAAAATAAAATCATGGAAAGATGTTTTTTATTAATAACGATATTTGAAACTTTTGGCTATTATAAATAATTTTGTACAATCAATTATTTTTAAATATAACAATATACAATTCTTCCACCACAAGGGAAATACATTTATTTGCAAAATTAAATTTTTTTTTTTAGAAGATTGCAAAGTTGAAGATCCTATTTAAACTAATCATACCATGATACATGCAAAATGATAACTATTTAACATCCTAATGGAAAATTCACTAATTTCGTGGTCCGCTTGACCAATTAATATATTACAATTAATTAAGGTTTTTATTTGAGATAAGAAAGTCAATGGCACGAGCGGGAATCGAACCCACGATCTCCGGCTAGATACGCCGCTGCTCGACCACTTGAGCTATCGTGACCTCAAATCCACTCGGACACCAACTTCCTATCTCAACCCCACCTTTTGAATTTTCCCTCCTTTTTGCCACTTTTCGATTTTTCGAGAATCCAATCCGATTACACATTTGAAAAATTTAACATTTTAGGATGTGGAAAAAATGAATTTATACAATGCAAAATATATTTTTTTAAATATTCAATCAAAGTATTTCTACTTAGTCAAAGTGTTTGTCTTCTGTGTAATTGTGCCATTCTTGCGTGTCGTGTTGAGAGTGCCAGTGAGATTTTGTTTTATGTTTATATACGTTGGATTTTGAAGGGGTGGGGAAGGAAGTCGGTATAGAAAAGACATTTTTGTATAAGGTGTCGGCTTCTTTGAAGTAAAAAGAGCCGACGAAGGGAAAAAACGTTGGTAATGGTTCGGCCAGATTATCCTTTCAGGATTATATAGAAAGGGATAAATAGGAAAAGGAAAGCTAAATTGTTGGAAAATTATACTATGTGAAAAATATTTGATGTGATGATATATGTATGTTATCTATATTGAATTTGATTAATGATATTGGCGTAGCTGCGACTGAGTTTACATGTATCTGTTCTGTAATTGATGCTGTGTTTATCTCTGTTGATATAAACCATTTCTAAGAAATTACGTTTATGTTTGTTTTGTTCTGTGTGTAATATTTTTAGATTGTTGAAGTCGAAATTGTGTTCATGTTCAAAATGGTGGGTAGCGAGTGCTGTAGGATTTTGCTTGGGTTTTTTGCAATCATAGATATGTTGCTTTACTCTCTTATCTAAATATTGGGATGTAAGACCCATGTAAGTTGCCAGACAGTTTAAACAATTGATTCATCTTTTCGTCAGATTTATTTGTTATTGGTGTGGGATCTTTAATTTTGGAAAAAAGTGTTTGAATTATTTTATAATTTTTGAAATCGGACGATAGAAATGTATTTAATACGTGGTGTATTTTCACCTCGAAGAAGCCAACTCCTTATACAATAACGTCTTTCTGTACCGACTTCCTTCCCCACCCCTTCAAAATCCAACGTATATAAACATAAAACAGCAAAATTTCACTGGCACTCTCAACACGACACGCAAGAATTGCACAATTACACAGAAAACACACTTTGAGTGTGTAGAAATACTTTGATTGAATATAAAAAATATTTTTTGCATTGTATAAATTCACTCTTTTCCACATCCTACATGTATTTGTTAAATTTAAACAATGTTTGTAAATCCCCGGCCCTGAAGATGAGCTCAATAAAGATCGAAACGTTGGCACGGTAAAGAAAATGTATTTCTAAAACCTACATCACACCAGACCGAAACTCACGATCTCTGAATAATCATCAACGGTCACGAATCACCACACATTTTTGATATTATTTATTAAGATTAAAGTTGTCAAATTCGTCCGTTCATGATCGTATGAACCAAAAAAATAGTAAAATATACAATTTTCCCCTCAAAGATCATAAAACTGTCAATGAAAATGCATCTTTATAACATTAAATACTGTTGAGAAGGTAACACACTACATTTGGATCGAAACGGTAAATTCTTCCCAATTTATTTCAAAAATTTTCTTTACAATTTAATTTAACATTTATGTCTGATTGTGAAATTTCCTCCTGTGGACGGTCTGCAGGGGTGATGAACCTGTAATTTGGTCGTTACTCATCATTTTGGTCTGCCTCTCAGATGCTTCGGCATTTCGCCATGGGCGGAAAAATACTGCTCGAATAGATTAATTTTTTTATTATTATTAATAATAATTCAGTATCGATTAATAATTATATTTCATTTGTAAAAGGTATTACAAATTTAATTATGTTATGTTCAAATGGAATAATATGCGGTGTGTGTACAAATCTAGTATAAAATTCACACAGCCAATAGGAAAGGATTAAATGGAATGAAATTTTAACATTAAATCAAGTTTTTGTTATTTTCTAATATTTTTTTCTTACAAATGCTCATACAGAAACAGAAAGAAAAATATTTAACCATAAGAGTAACAATGTGTAGTATGTTTTTGATTGAAAAGAACAAAACTGCGATGAAATAACAAACATTCATAAAAGTTGACCACTTTAATTCAAATTATGGCGTTACAAAAAAATTAGTTCATAACGGGAAAACTCAATAATTGTGAGCAATGTAATTTTAATACGCTCTTCCATGCATTTCACCACGGTCTCGCCTCTTCCAGTCCGCGCCAGATCTGTTGTACGGTCTGAACGCGTTTTGAGCACCTCCTCTTTGGAAAAAGTTACCTGCAGAAACAAACAAAAAAATAGTTTTGAATATGCCAAGTGTTGGGTTTAATAATGTAATTACCAAGTTTTGTATCAAATATCCTTTCATTTGAATCGACGAGGTTGTTTACTTTATCCGCTAACTGTAGAGCGAGCGACTGTAACCTACTGGGTTCACTCCTGTGCATTACAACCGTTTGCGAAGGATCATCCAACGAAGCCTAAAAATGTTAAAAATCCTTTAATAAAAAAAATCCATTCACTGATTATTAATAAAATCAAGTATTACCATGAGTTCCTCGTTAATAATCATTTTACTGACGATAGAATAAATTATAAATTTATCAAGTTCAAACATGTCACAGAGTGTAGCAATCGAAATGGATGCATATACATGGGAGTACGTAAAGAGGTAAGTCCGTAGCGATTCTTCTTTGATTAACCTAGTAAGCATTTCACGTACTTTATCGGCTTCGTAAAACAGGGCCCAAACCTGGAAGAAATTAAGATAAGCATGTCACATGATCAGTTAAAAAAAAAAAAATACCTTGGCATTCATTTTATCGTTAATGATAAAATCCCGGCAAGCAGCCCAGTTTCCATTCCTCATAGCTTTAGAAGCGGCGACGACGTGTTCCCTCATACTTTCAGGAGGACCGACTAAAGCCTGCCTCTCACTACTCCTGAGCTGTTGGTAAAATGTCTTCGAAATCATTCTTCTCCTTGCATCAAACTCATGAGCTAGTGAAAAAAAAATTAACAATAATTTTAACCGTAATCATGCAATGCATAAAATAGTTAATTTCACAAAGATAACTAAATGGACAAATGATATTTGAATGTTCACAAAAGTTTCCATGAATAGAAAGATGAATAAACAAAAATATGTTTTGAAAAGAAAACAATGTTCCAATTACTTTTATAATGAAAATTTTAAAATGCATAGTTTTAAATGTTTTGAAGAAAATTTTACCATTTAAATTAATATAATACTTACCAGCCATATATGGAATTTCGATGAGCATGGCAGAAACAAGATAGACGCACTCTATGAGCTCTAAATTAATGTGCATGTGGAACGGCATTTGCCTTTGTTTTTCTACTTTTTCTTGTTCCTTACTTCTTTCATGTTGTCTCTAAATAACGAAACAAATGTATTTTATAGTATTTTAAACAAAATTCCATTGCGATTCATTGTACTAACCAGAGGCATAAGGCCTTGAGCAAGTAGCTCTTTTGTTTTACCAGTCATCATAAGATCAACGAGGCAGTTATGCGCATCTTTGATATTAGCGTGGCGGAAAGCGCACAACCCCAGATGGGCCATGGTCCGGTTATAAAGGATCTAACACAAAATTAAATACTTTCACTTAAGAAATACATAAACAGTAATGGATAAAATGAATGTACCACCCTTAAATTTTTATGTATTTTGGTTTATAAAAAAATATTGAGAAAAGAAAAAAAAAAGAAAATTAAAAATAAAAACTTGTTATTTCTGATAAAATGCTGAGGAATTAGAAAGGAAGGCCATAATGCTACTCAATGCAAATGGGATTAATACACAACAAAGGAAGTAAAGAAAACATTATTTACTGTTTATTTTGATTATGATAGCTCCTAATTACCTGTAAACTAATGTGGAAAGATAATGGATTTAATTTTAAACTAGATAAATTGAGTGGTGCATTAAATTTGTCCATCAGTGCATTTTAAATACTAACTTGAGTCGGAGGGTCGGAATGATGAATAGCCTCTTGGAGATGAGACATAAGGATAAGATCCCTAGCCTGGAACCAGTTGTCGTGCAGAGCGTGATGATAAACATGGGCCAAAATGGCTCTCGTCCTCAGCCTGTCGGTGTTATCTTTGTCGTAAATGTATTTGCAAAGCTTATCCATCACCTGAATGCTTGTCTCGGTGACAGGTTCTCCCTTAAATAACATTGTATAACATTAATTGAAATTTTAAAAAATCAGAAAGTTGTGAATAATATCAATTTATGGCAATATGTTATTAAAATACTGCATTTAACTAAGCAAAATGAATTAATAATAATTATGATTATTTATTGTTGAAGAGAACTAGTTTTATTTTTTTCCATTTTATTCACAATACAGAGGGCATTGATAGTTTACTTTCTTGTTATTTTATTTTTTTAATATACTGTTTTGTTATTTCACCCCGAGGGTTCACTGTCTGTTTCCTGAAAAGGTGAGGAAAAAAACAGTGTGACGCCCCATTATTTTATTTTTGGAGACGAAGCAGCCGGAGACCAGGTGAATTGTTAACGGTATGAAGAGGAGCCAGTAACAAATGGTATCTGCTGGGTTCTGATCAAAGCAAGTATTATAGAGAAAACAAGAAACAGTAAATTTTGAAAATCTGCCAGTCTGAACGTGATAATTACTGCTAAATAAATACTAATTAAATTTTAAACTTACTTCGCCAAGCTTCTGGAGATATGAGCCGAACACCTCCTTGTCTTTTTCTTGTTCCTGTTTCCAAAGGGAAAAAGGGAAAATTAAATAAAATTAAACATTGTTATAATTATGATAGATTGAAAAGTTCAGATGTTTCTACCTTCTTCTGTTGAATAACAGTCGGATCGAATTTGTAATACAGATGTTCGACTTTCCTCAAATAAATACGACAAAGGTCTGAAGGGACTTCCTGCCTTTCGAGGAATATCTGGACCTTGTCGATAATAGCACAAACTCTTGTTTCATCTGTCAGCCTGTAAATAATAATTCGTTGAAACTATGTACGATTGGGACGGGCGACATTCAACTACCTTTGGACGTATTCGTTAGAATGCGGGTCACACTCTTTGAGCAGTTTGGTAAATTCTTCGTCCAGGCGTTCGACCACCATCAAAATACACCCTCTAATTCTATAAGGCGGTTTATCGAAACACTCCCCTTCCTCAGTTATGTTCTCACCAATTATAATATCATTTGTGGACAAAAGAAGGTCCAGTGTTTCAGATATCCTCTCCAAAAGTCTATTATAAAAATAAAATTTGTACGTATACAATTGTTTTTCTCTTGTTTAACAAAAATTACTTACTTGGCCCAATATTCAGGCTTCATTGCATCGGAGACTTTAGGATTGTAGTCGAAAATTGAAGAGATAATAGCGAGTTTGATTTTGATGTTGATCGCTGTCCCTAAATGATGGGCATCGGCTACTGTGGCAAGTTCATGGAGTAGCTCGATTTGTTCCCTCCTATCGGTACGCTTTTTACCACGGGCAGCAACTATCTCGCCAAGTTTTTTCAATACAAGATTCATATCGATCTCAGCATCTTTTGCAAACATTTTTGGTTTTTCCTTAAATTTTAAAATAAAAGATTCGTTATCATGCAAAAATAATTATATGTAAGTTTTTATATTAAAAACTTACGGATGGAATGGCAACACCTCCTTTGACTGTCTCCCATTCTCCTTCACCATCTTCTTCTTCATCTTTTCTAACCTTTTTCCTATCTTTATCTTTCCTTTCTTTCTTCTTTTCTCTCTTCTCCTCTTCTTCTTTATCGGTAGTTCTAAACATTTATTGTTATACAGGTTTTTGGATATATTTTTTTTATTGTAAATTTGAAATCAATTTTATTTACTTCTTCAAGAAACGTTCTCTGATGCTTGTATATTGTCCTTCATCTTCACTAGATTCTGTGCTTGATTCGGAATCACTGCCCCAATCAATTGAATCGTCACTTCCTTCATCATCATCCTGTCAAAATTTAAAACATAATTATGGTATGACCAAACTTTATAATATTTTTAAAAACATACCCTGGAGATTTTTTGGTCGGTACCACTTCCTTCAGAAGGTCCTTTTTTAAACTGTGTCGGTCCGGGTGTGTCATCTTCAGATTCCTCCTCGACTTCTAAAACAAAATACAGTTTTAAAAAAGTTGACGGTTCAAATTATATATTAATATTACCTTTGGGCTGTTCTTCATCTTCATCCATCAGATCTGGATTTTCCTTAAATTTGGCCAGCTCGCTTTCGAATTCCTTGTTGTACTTTCTCAACTTCTGCCTCAATGAAGTCAAAGATTTGGCGTTGTTCTTACTCATGTTTTTCCTGCCCTCCCTGTCCTCCCACATTTCTCCGATGAAGTCTTCCAACTCAACCAGACATCTAAGATAGAATTTCGGTGTGTTGCCATTTTCCTCTTTCTGGATGACGGGCAATGCCTTTTGGTAAGCCCTCATCATATCTTCAAAGCCTTAAATTCAATGGGCAATTTTTGAAGAAAAAGTTAGAATAAGAGAAGAATCAATAAGAGAATGTATATAAAAACAAATTACTGTTTAACATGCTGCTCATATCCTTGATTTTCTTGAAGTTCCTGATTTGTTTAATATTGTTCGTTAACTCCTCATAACGTTTCTCTTTTGTGGACCGAAGCACACGTTTTGTATCCTCTTCATCATCACTAAACTAAAACGAACAAAAAATTTCAGAATGATATGAAAAGCAAATATTTAAGAGAAATCAAATCCACTTTAATTGACATTTTACACATACCATAGTTCAATTCTAACTCTTAAATAAAGTTAAGTTTAAAAAGAATCTATGACCTTAAAGACCACACCACATGACCAATATTGATGCATTTATTTAATCTCCATTATTGTCTAGAGCTCTTTGTTAAAGGCTATGACACACGCAGTGCTATAACCGAAGCATTTACTATGAGGAATCATAAAAATTATCGCTCTTGCACTAGCTGGATGCCCAGAAACAGGCATTCAACAGAATAATGCAGTTTCTCTGAAATGCCTAATTGTTTTATTGTTTGCCTTCCTTAATATGATAGAATTCTTGCCAGATCTTGGTCCACATATCCCATCAATAACAAAATTCTATAGTGCTGAAAACAAAATGTCATCTTCAGGATAATTTTAGTCTCAACGTATAATATTCATCAGCCTATTTATCAACTGTCCATGCTAATAGTCTACTTTTCTTGTAGGTAGCAAAATTCTGTGGAGTAGAGAACAAACTGTCACACAAACTAAGGTTGAACATTTGTCAGCAACATCCATGATATTGGCCAACTTATCCTGTCGATAACAAAATTCAACAGAACAGAGAACAAAATGTCACCTTTGGGAACATTGTAGTCCAAGTCAGAATATTCGTCATACTGATCATCCATGATTTGATTCTTATCATAAATGTATGAGGACAAAAATAAGTTTTTTTTGTTTTTTTTTGTGTGTTTTATATTGATCATCCAAGTTCTTGGCCAACTTATCCGGACAATAACAAATTCCATAATGCAGGGAACAAATTGTCTTTTTCAGGATCATTTAATCCAAGGACGAATATTTGTCAGTATATTGATCATGTATGATTTGGTTCTTATCATCAGTGTATGTGGATGTGAAAATTAGTCAATTTTTTTTTTTAATATTGATCATCGAAGTATTTGGACAAGTTATCTGTCAATAACAAACCCCACAGTACAGAAAACAAAATGTCTCCTTCAGGATTTATATTTTACTCTAAGGTTGAATATTTGTCAGCATATTGATTCCATGATCTTGGCCAACTTATCCTGACGATACAAAACCACATAGAACAGGAAACAAAATGTCTTCTTCAGAATCATTTTAGTCCAAGGAAGAATATTTATCACCATATTGATCATCTATGATTTGGTTCTTATCATTAGTATATGTGGACGTGTAAATTGGTGATTTTTTTTTTTAAATATTATTCATCCCAGTTCTTGAACAACTTATATGTCGATAACAAAACCCCATAGTACAGAAAACAAAATGTCTCCTTCGGGATTTACATTTTACTCTTAAGGTAGAATATTTGTCAGCATATTGATCATCCATGATCTTGGCCAACTTATCTTGACGATAACAAAATTCCATAATACAGTGATCATTTTAGTTTAAGGCTGAATATTTGATAGCATGATTATCACTATTGATCTTGGTCTACTTATTTTGTCAGTAACAAACTGCTGTAGAGTAGAGAACAAATTATCACTGTTGGAACCTTTTTAAACTAAGGTTGAATATTTGCCAGCATATTGGCCATCCGTGATCTTGGATGACTTATCCTGATGATAACAAAATTCCATAGTACTGAATGATGATGCCCAATACTTTGCACATTAAGTTTCTTAAAGGCACTTTTACGTATATATGGACGTTTATACCGGGCAAAATGTGAAACTGATGAAAAGTACTTACAGTGAGGAAGGGCATCGCCTGAGTCCTGACTACCTGCTCCTCTTCGGACGCGCTATCGCCCTCCGAGTCCGAGCCTCCAGTTGCGAAGAAACGACTCATCTTTTCAATTCAAAAGACGAAGAAAATATCTGAAATGAAGTCAGATTTGAAAAAATGATAAAACCAAACAGAACCGTATTGAAAGAGAGCACGCCTGCAGACAGAAAGGTTACCCCGACACGTCAACCCTCGGTTAAAACCGCTCCCGTTTAAAACAAAATATTAACACTTATAATTAATAATTTCAGTTTTAATAACTGTTTTTATTGAAGGAAAAAATTTGACAGCTTACCTAAATAAAAACCTCTTGTTATACAAGACAGACCGAACCACGCAATGCTTAACACCAATGACAGGTTACGGCCAATGAGGGTTACCGATCAGGTTAGTCAACTTCACAATTGAAATTTTGATGAAAATTCTTATTTTGTTCATTAGTTGAATTCTATTGATGCGAGAGTTGACCTGTTAATTGATGTATTAATAAGGGACGTTGATTGAGGATTAATAAAGAATATTGAACTTTAAGGAAGATGAGAACTGATGGAATGGAAAAGACAATGTGGATATCCACACTCAGAACAGAAATACAGTTTTAATCATAATGAAGATGGTGGATCAAAAATTAGATCCATTATCTGAGACCAGACAATAGAAGAGAAGAAGAGGGATGGAAAATACTATGTATACATTTAACATATAATATATATGGCTATGTTATACATGTTAAATGTATACGTATTTTCTTTTCATTCCCTCATATCTCTTTTTATTTGTGTTATTTTGTTTTAAATGAATAGTATTGTCGGCATTTTTATAATTTCAGATTTTTTTGTCGGTTTGTATTAATAAATAAATAAAATAACTCCACCTCTCATATTTATGAGAAGCGGTCGGGACGATTAAAAAAATTGACTATCAAAATTAATATTTTATTTTGCAGAGGTTATTATAAAAGTTGTATTGTTATGATCTTGATTATCAAGAAATAAAAGCATGGGAATAAGATGTTTGTGAATGTGGCCATTTCCTATGCAGAATTTAGAAATGAAAATTTCGAAAATGACAGCGGACAAAAATGGAGAGGAAATCCGACGAAACTGTCGATTTGCATTGTAAAAAATGAAAGGGGCAAAGGAAAAGAGAAAAGAAAAGAAATCGAGGCACAAGAGATCGGAGAAGAGAAAGGAAAAGCCTCGTAGACCGAGGGAAAAATCTGGAAAAGGTGAGAATTCGCGGAAAGGCGTCCCCTCCGAATGTCGGCTTTGGTGGGGGGAGCTAAAAAGGGCGGAAGCTGGCGGCGCAGGTTAACCGCGGCGTTCGGACATGTTTGAACCGGGTGGAAACCTCCGGCGGCCGCGTATACGCCTCGTACGCCGTGCTCAGCTATGATCGCTTTTCTGCAAGTTTTGCCATTTTTCAGCAGAACCTGGTGAACGGACGAGGACCTGGAAGAGACGCCGGCCCGGCCACAAATCGGACCCGATGGACGTGGACCTCCTTCGGCCGGGCACCGTGCCCATCTCGCCGGACACTTCGCTCTGGTTCGAGTTCCTCCTCGACCCCAGCCACCTGGAAAAACACCTCAAAAACACTTGTGCAGGTATGTCAAACGCTTTTTTTTTTTTTTATTTACGTTCATTGTTCTTAATCAGGTTGGATATAGCAAGACCTGAAAGTATCGAGTTTCAATTGTTTACCAAATTTGGCCTGTGCCTTGTCTATTAATCACCAAGCTCATTGCTCAAATGACAATCATTCTTATCTTTCATCATTATTGTAAAAATTATTGGTGGTCTGGAATAGATTTGAGAAAAATGCAGTGTAATACTTGTATTTGGAGGAAAGTCAGACAAATTCAATTTACTATGGGTTAAAGTTGGGTTTCCACTGTGCGAAACTCACTCATGCAACTGTTTCGCGAAACTTGTCTCCGTTGTGGAGACATAGCCGTACTGCGAAACCGGGTGAGCCGACTGGCTGTCAGTTTTGTTTTAGTGCACATCAAAGTGTGTCGCATTGTTAGTTTTGCTCCATGTATATGCACTTGTTTCGAATATGAGAGTTCCAATTGTTTACCCATTTTTGGCCTGTGCCTTGTCTATTAATCACCAAGCTCATTGTCCAACAATCACTTTTCTCTATCTGCATATTGTAAAAATTATTTGTCTAGAATATATTTGAGGAAAATGCAGCGCAATACTTGTATTGGGTTGAAAGTCAGACAAATTCAATTTATTATAGCTTAAAGACAGGTTTCCACTGTGCGAAAGGCACTCATGCAACTGTTCTGCGAAACTTGTCTCGCGTTGTGGAGACCTAGCCATACTGCGAAATGGGGTGAACTAACCGGCTGTTGCGTTTTTAGTGCGCATCAAAGTGTAAACACTTGTCTCGAGTATGAGAGTGAACCAGGCAGGAAGATGGGATGTTGGATCTTCATTGCAGTCAATGTGTTAATTTTATTACATACTTCCAATTAATTATTCTTTTTTATGTAAGGTCTTGGTTGAGATGAAAAAGTTAGTGTCACAAGTGGGGTTCGAACCCACGACCCTCGGCTCAATACACCACTGCTGTAACCACTTGAGCTATCGTGACTTCTATCCACTCGGACACCAACTTCGAATCCCACTCGTGACACTAACTTTTTCATCTCAACCAAGACGTTACATAAAAAGAATAATTAATTGAAATAATTTGCCGGGGGTATCATCAGGTTCACTTTTGCAATTCATGTCGAGAGACATGTTCCTAGAAACCCTTCAACCTGACGATGAGCTAAAGGGCTTGAAATCCGGATTGTTGCTAAATAATTGTTGCGTTGAGCTATCGTGACTTCTATCCACTCGGACACCAACTTCGAATCCCGCTCGTGACAACAAAATTTTCATCTCAACCAAGACCTTACATAAAATGAATAATTAATTGAAATAATTAATATGGTCAATTAGACCACTAAACATAAATGCATTTATTACATACCTTCCTCCATGTCCAAAAGAAATAACAGGAAAAAGCAGTAAGTATTCATGTTAGAGGCCAATTAGAACTAAATATACCGACAGGTTTACCCTCAGTGATGATCTGCCCACCTGTGCTGTTTTGGTCTGTCAAATGCTTTTCCACGTATTTAAAATCGTGTTTCTATAAATTTGTAATTTATTTTTTAGATCCACCTCCTACTGAATTAATTGTAAAGTTCTTGACACTCTCTCTAACTGAAAAGCAAATAGAGCCAGGAGCTGAAACGAACGGTCCTCAAAGATTGAGCAAGAGATGTCAGGCATTGAAGATACTCGCCTTGCAAGTGGCCGCTTATCTAAAATGGGATTTAGAATTATTTGAAAATAAGTACGTTCATTTGTTTCTAAATGGTTTAATTGTGTATTTAATGACATATTTTTTTCAGATTACCTCTGCCATTACAAGCGACGCTTTTAAAAGATTTTTTGAATTTAGTGTCCGATGAATACGGAGATGTTTCGGTTCACAACAGTATTAAATTCAGTGAGGTGAAACCTCAAGTCCTTTTTGCCATATTTCTATACCACAGATGGATGTTGAGAACTTTCTGCAACTCAACACTTAACGGGAAAACTAAGATTCTCAACGGACTCATGTAAGTGTTTTAGTTAAAAAAAAAAGCATTTTCATTTTCTAAGGGTTTTTATTGTCTTTATTTATTTTAGGCCAAATGAGAACGTTTGTGAGGAAATTTCCGATGTGAATGCTGAAAGGAGCTATGCAGTTCTTAAAGACATGTCGCAGATGGCACACGACGTTTGCCCCATCATACCATCCATGGCTTCATTCACTCTTCTCACGGGCGATGTAAATGAAGTCGAACATCAATGGAACCTGGGAAAAGTTATTTCAATAGACCAATTTCAGTGTCAGGTTTGCTAAAAACACAAAACAAATTTTAAATTTAAAAATTATTAATGAATTTGTTTTTCTTTTAGCTCCTCATGGATTTGACAAAGTATCTCATGTTCAGAGAGATATACTCAGAGGCGGCAAAAGCTTTGGACATGTGTTGTACAGCTTTTAGCAAATGGAAAGCTAACGAACCAGAAGATGACGAGCCCTATTCTACAGTTACAGCTGAAATGATCGCAGGGCAGTGTTTGGCTTTAGGTATCTCAAAGGGAACGCAGCACACTCCATCTTTGGTCCAACAATTTCATAAGCTTGTTTCTCAGCAATACATGGTAAATTTATTAAATCTGTTCATTTTCACTACCACCTGCTGACTTCATTTGTTTAGAGTATAGAAAAAATTCTGGAAAAGGACAATTTAACAAAGGAGATTCCTCAGTTGTATCGTGATTGTCTCGAACTCGATATAACGTCTGAAATAGCAGCTAGAAAAATAACTGTATACAGAGATGCTCTCGTGCAAATCCAAGCTTCGAATATGGTCAGAAGGGCGTTGGAAGGAGGGTCATGGCAAGCTCCCAAAGTTACACCGATAGCATTGCAAAATGTAATTAAACTATATTCATTTAATTAAAACTTATTGTGACGCATTTTTGTTTGTTTTTATTTAGGCGCTAATCCCAGTTATACCGAGGAGTTCAGAGGTAGAAAGGAACCGATTGAAATATTTGGTCGGGACAACTCTTGTTAATGGCGATTTGTCATGTAGGGAATTAGTGGAGCTTGAAACCACCAAAGAGCTCCTGTCCGAGGAAGAAATAAATTCAGCAGTTGAGTCTGATTATACCGATCCTGTGCCTGAGATACTAAATATGGATCTTGAAACTAGTCTGTCCTTAGCTAGCAAACACAGTGAGTAATTTTTTTAAACATTTTAGTCTACTATGGAAAGTAATTATTTCTTTGTATAGAGTCCCCTAGCATACGTATGGCCGCAATAGAAAGAACATTGACAACAAGTTATGATTCTACTGATATCGAAACAGCCATTTCCAAACTGACGGCAAGGAACATGAATATCAATATGACCAAATTGAATAGGAATGTAAGTAATATTCCTACAATTCCACCTTGTTTTTCTAATATTATTAAATTCACTAATTGGTCTGCTTGACCAATTAATATATTACAATTAATTAAGGTTTTTAGCCGAGATAAAAAAGTCAATGGCACGAGCGGGATTCGAACCCACGATCTTCGGCTAGATACGCCGCTGCTCTACCACTTGAGTTATCATGACCTCGATCCACTCAGACATCAACTTCCTATCTCAACCGTATCTTGAGATTCAAAAGGTGCAGTTGAGATAGGAAGTTGATGTCCGAGCGGATCGAGGTCATGATAGCTCATGTGGTAGAGCAGCGGCATATCTAGCCGAAGATCGTGGGTTCGAATCCCGCTCGTGCCATTGACTTTTTATCTCGACTAAAAAACTTAATTAATTCTAATGTTATTGTTGTAATGTTATTGTCTTGTTTTGTTTTTTTAGTGGGAAATCCCAGTGTCTCTATCTAATGCAATCGTAAGTCTTGGTGGCGGGAATCTTCAGCATTACGTTTTTGTCCTTCTTGCCAAAGCATACGAATTGGATAAAATAGAGGTATTATAAAAAAAATTTATTTTATTTTTTTTAACATTCATCTCCTGAATGTTGTTTCCTTAATAGATAGTCCCTAATAGATGTAATTTAATTAATAGAACCTAATGAAAACGATTATGATGACTTGTGGTGTACTGCTGGGGTTGTTCATTTTAATTTCCTGAATTATTTTTTAAATTATTTATTTATTACTAATTTTTTTTAAACAATGGATACCAGGAACTGGAGGAGGAGGTTTCCCTGAGCACTGTAGCTGTACAGCTTATAGTACTTTATTTCTGGCTCCATTTTTTTTTGGGAGCTCGCAACACGTGTGTGAATTGAGCTCCCGGTGTGCCAGTGTTATATATATTACACAGGGCGGGCGACCAGGACCCGAGGGGTTAAAAGCCTGAGTAGGCCCGTACCCCATCCCTAGAAGGTCCGGGACCTGGTCGGCTCACGAGTCCTGTATAAACCTATTGGACCTATTCACAAACCCCAGGATTGTGGACCATTTTATCCTGGGGAGTGTTTTGGTTATGTCCTCTCCTTCGAAAGTATTAAATCTTTCCCTAGCATACCTATCGCATTCTGCGAGGTAGTGTCGGGCCGTTTCTTCTTTTGTTTCGCAGAAGCGGCAGAAGGGGTCTGGTAGAGTACCCATTATGAAGAGGTGTCTTCTCAAGGGGCAATGGCCCGTTAGGATACCTATCAGCCTCCTTATTCCCCTCCTAGAGTTAGAGAATAGCCATTTCGATTCTTTAGGTTTGATTTCCTTCAGAAACTCCTTCGATTGTCTGCATCCTGGGGACATATTCCATTCCTTTAGGAATTGTTTCATGCCCCAGCTACCTATACTCTCTTTTGCTGTGCTTAAAGAGTGGGGTAATACCGGTTGTGGTCCGACGAACTCAGTATTTGAACCTTCCTTGGCCAGGCTGTCCGCCTCCTCATTGCCATAGTGCCCCTTATGAGCAGGTATCCATACGAGGGTTACCCTATTCTCATACCTGGTGATAGTCCTATTAATGAGTTCAACGGTTTCCTCTACCAGTCTAGATGTTGATAGTTCTTTTTGTAATGATTTTAGACTGGCCTGACTGTCGGAAAAAATTTTAATATCTTTTCCCTTAATCTTGTTATCCATCAGTGTTCTACAGCAGACATTAATGGCCCAGACCTCTGCCTGAAAGACCGAGGTGTTATTACCAAGAGGATAGGAGATGCTGATCCCTAATTTAGGTATGTGTATTCCAGCACCACTTCCCTTATCCTTAATGAGTGAGCCATCGGTGTAGCAATCTAGACTACGATGGTCATCATCAGACCTATAGTTATAGTCACAGGGAGTGACTACCTGAAAGTATTTTTTCCCTAAAGGTGTTTTCACCTTTTTATCGCTTACACCCAGTAGTTGGTTGTTGACCTTACTCAATAAATGTAAAATTTTCGAGTGTCCTATATTATTTCCCTTATGGTTCCAGCTGCCTTCACTAATTAATCTATAGCAGCTGGTTAGTGCTTTAACCTTGACCTCAATGTGTAGAGGTGTGGTGTTTGTTATCACTTCCAAAGCTAGGGTTGGTGTAGTGGGAAAAGCTCCCGTCATCATCATACAACCTAGTCTTTGGAATGACCTTAGCTTGTTAATAGCCCCTTTGTTTTCTAGCCCATTCCACCAAACTAGGGCTGCAAATAGAAATCTTGGTAGTATGATCGCGGTGTATATCCATTTGGCCACCCATGGTTTAATACCCCATGTTCTACCAACGATTCTCCTACACTGCACCATGGATATAGTGCCTTTCCTATGTATGTTTTTAATGTGGCCTTTCCAATCAAGTTTCCTATCTAGCGTTATCCCTAGGAACTTGATTGTATCCTTTAATTTTAATTCAATGCCCTGACATTTTGGGTTTTTAAAATTACCTATTGATCTTCTCCTGCTGAACATTATCAGTTCCAGTTTAGCAGGATTTATCACAAGACCTTTGTCGCTACACCATCCGGTTAGCAACCCCATCGCCTCCTTCATCAGTAGTGATAGAGTCAGAGGGTCCTTACCCGTGATCACTATGGTACCATCGTCTGAATATAATTGGCTATAAAAGCCTGAGTTATTCAGAAGCTCTAATAAGCTGTTTACTGTGATTAACCACAATAGAGGAGATAAACATCCTCCTTGTGGACAGCCTCCAGTGACCCTGATTCTCAGAGTACTGTTACCTAAGCACATATTTACCATCCGACCCTCTAGGTATGTTTTCACCCATCCTATGAGGTGTTGGTGAATGTTATATTTATTTAGTGCTGCTATAATGCATGAGGTATCTGCATTATCAAACGCTCCTTGGATATCAAAGAAGCATCCTAAGGTGTACTCATTATTGTATAATGATTTTTCAATCCTTCCTACAAGTGTATGCAGAGCAGTTTCCACTGATCTTCCTGGTAAATAGGCATGCTGATTAGGATGTATCAAGGTATTGATACCACAGTCATGTCTAATATATTTATCTAAAATTTTCTCTATTATTTTAATGAAAATAGAAGATATACTTATAGGTCTGTATGATTTAGGTAATTGATAAGAGACCTTACCTGGTTTGGGTAAGAAAATTACCCTTGTTTCCTTCCAGCGTTTTGGTATGTACCCCAACGCCAGACTACTCCTTAAGAGATCCCATACAGCACTGGATAAACCAGGTGTATCCTGTTGTAAGAGGGCAGGAAATATTCCATCCATCCCTGCAGCCTTGAACTTCTTGAAGGACCATACCGCCCATTTGTATGCGTCCCAAGAGATCACTTCATATGCCTTCCTCCAATTCGGCATAGGTGTATTATTCATGGTTTGGGTGTCGGAGGAGCCTGAACTTGGGAAGTGGGCCCTTGCCATTAGGTTCAGTGTCTCCTCGCTTGTTGTGCAGTACACCCCGTTTTCGTCCTGCAATAGACCTAGTGGATTAATATAATCCTTTTCCAAAAGTTTAAAAATTCGAGCACTTTCCTTAATATTCTCTGTCTTCAGACAATATTCCCTCCAGGCCTTTCGTTTGGTTTTCCTCAACTCTTTTTTGTATTCTTTTTTCTTGGAGAGATATTCTCTCCAAGACAGTTCAGAGTTCTCCTGCAGGGCTTTCTTGTGTAAGACTCTGACCCTTTTCCTCGCACTAGCCAGAGCTCTGTTCCACCAATGATGTCGATTCTGGCGTAGTATTTTTTCAGGGCATGCCTCCGTATATGCAGAGTTAATGACCTGTATGATTTTGTTAGCAGCCTGCTCCAGCTCTGTTATATTGGTAGGAGCAGGTGTACCTGTAATATTATTATTAATATTATTGATGTAGGAATCCCAATTTGTCTGTTTTGGATTCCTAAACCTTATTTTTTCAACTTCACCTGAGATCCAAAAATCTATTAAACAATGATCTGAAGAGATCTTACCTGGTGTCACCTTCCACCCCTTTACCCAATTGGCACAAGGCATGGTGGCTAGTGAGATATCCAAGACCTCCCTTCTATTTTTTGTTATAAATGTGGGAGTATTGCCTACATTCAGGATTGATAGATTTTTACTCACTGTAAATTCCAGGAATGTATCACCTCTTGTATTATTATCTGAGCTGCCCCATGCTATGTTATGTGCATTTACATCACAGCCCAGTATAAGTACTATATTATTATCCTCACAATAAGTTGTGAGTTCCCTGACTATCTCGGTTGGACAGTCCTCATCGTGGGGTAGGTAGGCACTCGCTATGTAGAGGTTATGTCGACTACCCCTTCTCCTGAAATCAATAGAGATCGTTATGATATCCCTAGAACAAAACCTAGTTATGAGAATTGGTTTTAGTTCCTTGTGAGCCACAACACACGCTCTTGGCTTGTCCTGTCTTAGGTCCTGAAACAGTTCAAAGCTATTATTCTTTAAACCAATTACTTGTCCCCTATATATAGTGTGCCAGTGTTCTTCCATCAAAGAAACTCATTTTTGAAGGGGGTTGGGATCAAATTCAGGGTCGCTGAGATCTGATCCCACCCCAGACCTTCCATTGATGAGTGTCATGTCAATTTCTTTCAATTGTAGCCAAAGGTCCCCTTAGGCGTCAGAAAAAAGTCTAGAGGTGACGGTGGGGATCGAACCCATGACCATGGGATTTAATAGCTGAGAGTATGATGCTTCAGCCTCTCGGTTACCACGGCCCGTTAAGGCATTTTGATTACTTCTTAAGGGATAAAATTTTTAGAAAACGCGGTGAAGCCGAAAACGCCTTTCATGACTATTGTGAGTCGAAATAAATATTTTTATGTCCGCGGAATAAAAAGCCCTTATTACATATTGGCAAAGATGTATAGATTGTGATGGAAAATAAATGAATTTTCTTGGTTTTATAAACATTAAAAATATAGTTTTGACTGCCTTTTCAAAACCTGCATTATTTTTGTACCAGCCCAATATAACCCTTCTTTTTTAGAATTACAGTCAGGCAAAAGCTCTGATGAGAGCAGCCATTGATAAGATCTCCAAAGAAATTCCAAACCAGAATGCGACATCAAAAATAATTCAGCTCATTTCCTGGGAAATACTTTTAGTTGAGATCCACGAATTTCATTCCGAGTGGCCTGCGAAGAGATTAGGTAGGTTGAAATTAATTGAAATTGTTCAAGAAAATTCAGGAAGGATAATTAATTACAATTTACAGATTGGTCTGGCCTCGGGCAAAAATGTATTCAGGTTCTTATTAAAATCGAAGGGTGTCTTCCGAGAGTGACTCTGAGAGAAGAATGCGCCTTGACGCTTTTAAACACTGGGCAGTGGTCGGCGCTAGTTGCCACGCCACAGATCAAACATTCTGTTGCCCTTGGTGATCTTTACACGGCTATAGCAGCAGCCTGTGAAGACATCAACAAGTACAATAAAAAAATATCCACGGATGCCTGGGATAAAAGTATATTTAACAATTTCTTTTTCTAATACAATTTAGCGCTATTTATATATTTAATGTTTTTCTTCAGTTTTAGCAATGTTTGCTACATATAACCAGAAACGGAGAGATGTTCCGCCTGTAATAGCACAGGCCTTGTGTGTAATAGTTGAACTGAATGCGTTAGTTATTGTAATTTCTTTACTGGCAAAATTGCATAATGTTCTAATTGCTGATCAACCACAGTTGGAACTGTATGCACAGCTGACACAAGTTTGGCCGAATACAATAAAAAAGTATGAAGTCTGATTGTTGCCTCTTGTCGCAGATTTTTAATTACAATTATTTTTCAGCGCAAATCAGTACAATGTGAAGTACGTTTCTGAAGTTTTAATGGAGGTTTTGGAACACGCTTTGAAACAAGCTCCAAATAATGTACCCTGGTTGAAACTAAAGGGAGATCTTCACTTTGGTAAGAAAGTTTAAGTTTTACTTGATTGATATTTTAATTAATATTTTAATTGAAGCAAACGGTCATCATTCTGCGGCTCTCAAAAGTTACATAGAGGCGGCCATAGCTGGAACGGATTATTTCTCAAGGCCGTTGCATAAAAACATAATCGAGGATCACGTTTATAAGAGAATGATAGCTTCCTGCACCGCATTGCAATGCTATACACAGGTATAAATCATCCTGTTATCCATTCCACATTCATTACAGCTTTGTTTTTGGTTTTTTAGGCTGGGATATTGTGCCAGTTCTTGGAAGATGTCGATTACACGACAGCTTTCAAGAGCCTTTCCGAAGGGTGCTGCAACGACTCGATGGATTCCTACTACGATTGCATTTGGGATGTAAATATATTGGAGTTTCTCATCCACTTACATACCAAACGAGGGGAGCATCACAGAAAACAAAAAGTGGTAGGTGCAAAGTCCGGGAGGTGGGAGAGTACGCTGTCTCATAATGGTATGTTTCAGATCAGAACCATTGGTCTCCTTGAATTGAACTCCAACAACAACGATGAGATTAAAAGAGAGGCTGAAAACATAAGAAAAGGGCGTTTTATGAGAGCAATGACTGCACATTACCTTTCGTAGGGTTTTTTTTTAGGTCAATTTTTGAAATGTAAATATTTTTGTACAGTGAAATATTTTAGTTATTAATTTTTAAAAAATATTGTAAAATTTTGTAAAGTATAAATGTTGTGATATTTTTGAATAGTTGCTTTATTATACCACCTGAGGCCTGAAAATTACATTTTTATCAATTGACTTTACTAATTTAATTAATAAAGTTTGTAATTTAAAAATATTATTTTAGGTCAGTTTTCTGTACAGTAAGAGATTTGTAGAAAATCTAGACCTAATCTAGATAAACCATTTTTTATTATTTATTTTTATTTTGCGATTGCATGTATACAACAAGTAAAAATGATAATGTACAGTAGATTCACATACATAGGCAAGTCATACACAGTGACTATCAAGTGATCTCTCCGAGTATGGCCTTGTCCTTGGAGGCCCACAGCTTTCCTCCAAATGATCACAGGGCCAATGATTCGTCAATTTCCGAGGATTTTGAGGATAAATTGTTAATTTAAGATGGGCAATGGTTTACTAATTTGGAGTGGGATTTCCTTTATGATGATCGAGCTAGGTACTCGACATATGGGAAAAGATTGGAGTGGTGTAAGTGGCATATTCAGAATAATCTTTTTGTATTCGCTTGCTTTTCTCTAAGCGATAAGAGAGTAGTTGGCGTAAGCACTTCATTACTTATTCTTGTGTAAGGGAAGGGGCGGATCTAGAATTTAATAAACCAGAGAGTGTATTTTTCAACATTTACTTTAAAATAGTTTCGTCTTTTAAATGTACACAAACAACAAAATCTTAATCTAAAAAATCAGCAACAACTAAATCTGGGTTGAGCGGATTAACAAGGGACTTACCCAAGCAATGCTTGCCATGATCAGCATCCCCAGCACCTTTCTGGTTTCTCGATCATTGAGCTGATCTGATGGGTCGCAATGGCTGGTCCTCACCGGCTCTGGTTCGCTGAATCTTAGATGAAGTGTGGCTGCTTCTGTTCCATATTGACTCCTGGAGTGAGTTTTTTGTCTTGAGTGACTTGATTTCCAAATCATCCCTTTTTATAAAAGTCTGGGGAGTTCCCAAACTGCGGGTGAACCAACGAAGAAGGATGTCATGCGCCTGGTTGTTGCAACCCCAATTTATGTACAACGTCACTACACATTTTTGGCCTTGTGACAATCAACACTAAACTCGACGTTAGTTATTTATTTGAACTGTTGTCCAACTATGGCAACTTTGTTTTTCAGATTTATGAGAAACATCACAAGGCTCCCACCTGGATGTGCAACACCCTTCGACCAACTGCTTAATTATTGCACTTATGTTTCCCAGATTGGTGGGGTGTCATGTTCTCGTCTAGGTGATTGACTAATAAATCTATTATACAACTAACCTAATGAGGGTTGATGACTCAATATTTCACCACTGATCCTCTCATACTATACATTCATGCTAATAAATTCATTCACTCTCAACTCACACTAGGATACACAATGATAACAGCATTGTCCAATAAAACAACCCTGTTTCATTCAAGAATCGGAACAAGGAATTTAGATAGTCACTGTCATGCTGAAGAAAAATTCTCATATTGGGTGGATAAACTAGTGATGTTAGACACAGTAAACTTATGATGAAACAGCCCTTACCAAGACTGGCAAATTCACTGCTGCAATTGGAGAGGGCTAGACTCAGAGGAGTGATAGGACTATTACACGGTCACTGGCATCTGAGAAAACGAAACAGCCATCTTCAAATGTGAAGCAATGCTCAATGGAGATTTATCCTTACAAAAAAAATCTAGGAAATGAAATTGTAACAGTAATAGTCAATGACCTACTTGTAAGAAGAAGGATTGAGTCTATTGCACTGAACTAAGGAACGAGGAAGGTACAATAAGCCGGAGGGATGCAGTGTCTGGGGAGCACAAACCCCAGTTCCAAGTATCCTCATCACCATCACCATATCAGGTGGCATTCTTATGTGTTCTCCATATGGAGCCAAAGAATTCCAACTTCAGTTAGGTGGGATACATCAAGAAACCTTTCTCGACATGCCAGACACATATGCTGGCCTTGGCCTTAAAATGTCTGTGTCAACTTCACATAGCCTACCCTTAGTCGGGTGAGGAAGACACCCCCCCCCCTCTTCAGATATTCCTTAGAGCACTTTATAAAGCTTCTTTACTGATTCAATCCACCGTCGCCACCCCATTCATTTAATTACATTTTTATTGTATTTTTAGCATTAGATGGCTGTGGTAGTTAAGTCTAAAGGTTGGGATGTCTGGGCTTTTGAATTAAAATTAAGTTCCATTTTTAAAAAATCAATGATAATTTTTATATTCTGTGTAGAAGGTGCAGCTTTAAAGAGTCTCCCTTCAATTTAACTTTTATTTAATGTATTATTATATTTTTCTTTTACCACTTTATTATTTTATACAATATATGCTATAATTTCTTTTGTCTAATTTCAATATTTTTTATGTTTTATTTGTATCGCTTATTTCATTTTGTTGGTTTATGTACTATACATTGTATTGCAATCAACTTCCTCTGTATGCCTTAATTGGTTATAATAGAGTTATTAAAAATAAATAATTATTACGTTGTTATAATAATCATATTTGAAGAAAAAGTATTAGGTTAAAAACGGTACAAGAAATGCAGTCAAATAAAAGCGATATAGAATAATAATAATAATACATCTTTTCAAAGGGTGGTCGTCATTAGGGGATGTTAGCTTTACGAATCCCACCCCCTCGCGTAAAGAAGGGGGTGTGTACTTTTTACATGCATGCACACATTGCGTACCACGCGTCGTCGCACCAAAGTCACATCTTTCACATATGTGACAGGATGGCATGATGTTGGAGGAGCTCTTCTCTTACGCAACACATACCACGTGGCCAGGACCGTTCCCACCTCTCCAGCTCTTCCCCCCTGACGACGACGAATCCGTGTGTACACGGCCCATGACATGCGTCCTTTTATGAATTCGATTGCTTTTTGATTAGAAATTTCGGCTCTATTTTCTACTCCTCGGTTCTTTTATGTGTGATTGTTCATTTTGTCTGCGATTTAACTTTTTTATTCATACCACGTGATTAGTACCAAATGTATAATGTTTTTCGTCCTTCAGTTTTAAATTAATATGTAATTTTTTGTCAGGTAGTAAACAAGTTGTCAAAATATCTAATAAAAAAACTCCCCTGATCTTCCTGTTGTCTGGCGTTCCTCAAGGTGCAATTTTAGGACCCTTATTGTTTTCAATTTTTAATAACGTCCTTTGTTTAAATTACTCCAAATTACAATTATGTGCTGACGATATCCAAATCTACTCACAATGTCCCCCTCATTTAATCCCAGATTAATAATAATAATAATTCTGTTTCGCAGAGCACACCAAAATTTTTTTGGAATTTATAATAAAATATAGGCTTTGCTCAAAATTTTATACCTTTGAATGTTTATCTGATCGTGTTTGAATGAGAGTTCTGCGTGCAAGATTTCTTTTAACAGGAACTTTTGAGGCTGCCGGAGTGGAAGAATGGAATAAAAGAAAAATACAAATTGCGGGATAATAAACTATATTGATCAAAATCGCAATTTAAATAAAGAAAGATAGTGCCTTAAAAAAAAGCGCTATTATATTTTTGTCGCGAGAAATGCAAGTAATTTTCCGTTTTGTATCTTAGAATAACAGCATGTGGTATATGTAGGGGAAATAAACACATTAAAAAATTTCTATCAATTAAATAAATCAGGAAACGTTTACAAACCGGATCTGGAAACCAGATGGTGTAGGAGATAAAACAATAGCAGTATTTTGTTACAAGGTACAGCCGTCCTTGGTCCTTACTCAATAAAGCTGTAGGTTTTATGACTTTTACTGCTTCAACATTTCATACACTCGTTGAATTTGTTTTTCATAGTTTTAGCTGGAAAATTGAAATTTGCAAATTGCAACAAGAAGGGACAATGGCCCTTGGGGATAATTAATGTGATATAACATAAAGGCGCCCGGGGCCTTCCTGTCGTGAGAATTAAATCCGTGCTGTCCACCAATTTGCTTTCATGGTTGAGTTTACCTTTTTTTTTGTGTAGATAATTTAACGTTGTTTATTCACCCGGCCAACTGGGCTGTTATATAAAAAAATTGTCCTTTCGCATTCTTTTAGAAAGGGCAATTACATAGGGATAACTTTCAAATTTCACTATCCTCTTCTTGGTTTCAAAATTTGTGGAAACGTGCTAATATCGTGTCTTTACGAAAGAAATGAAATACAGCAAAAATATTGGATTCAACTTTTGATTATCAAACAATGAAAAAATATGAAAATTGCCCAGAACAGAACGGAAATTTTTGCTTGCGAGTATACAGGGTTGAACCGGGACAGGGTTTGTTTCCACTCGCGGGTTTTCTCCGAGTTACTCGAACGTGTTTCGGCATTGCGCCATCTTCAGTGAGGAACTGTCTAACTGTAAGGTTTATACAGGATGATTCGCTATCCGTGGGACAAATTTTGTCAGGTGTGTCTACACTTCAAATGAAAAAAAAAAAAAAAACAACGTTCGTATGAACCACGGTCCATTTTCAACCCTTTCGCAAATATTCAATATTTTATGTTTCTTGACTTCTACGGTTTTGTCTTAATTGTAATGGTAGCTCTTGAACTATTCATTTTGGGGAAATTTAAAAAAAAATGAAAAGAACGTTAAATTTCCTTAAGAATGTACCTTTTTAGAACTTTCACAAACATGTAAAAATTGAACAAAACACTTAAGAGACAATAAATACAGAAAACAACCAAATTACGTGATTGGAGAAATTTGTCACAAAAAGTCTCTCACCGATGTTGGGGGCAAATGGTACTACATATCCTTGGATTATGACATAAGTTATAACGTGAAGTTGTAGATCTTCGCGTAACAACCAATTCGGGCGGGCATCCAAGGAAGTGCCAACACATAATGCCACCCCATGGTGCGTTAAATTTATCCATCACTGTATTAGATTAAAAAACCCATCTGTGATGGCCAACAGTCCGTTATAGAAGAGCGAATCTTAGTGGA